CTATGTGCCCGTCGCTTTACTAATCTAAATTCCTTAACTAGTTACTCACGAAAATTACCGATATTGGTCTGCGTTTCCGACCCCGCGGAAGGGCGGTTGGTTGGCAACAGTTATGTACGTCGACTGCAGTCAGCGATCGCACGGTCAACGACTCGATCGATCGATCGGATGACAATTATATCGATGCATTGCATAGCATCAAAGGCTTACAGCCATTTATAGGTCATTCATGTAATTATAGGTCAACTTTCCTGCCCAGTGGAAGCAAAGATTTAGAATAATTTAGACGAACAAATTTTTATTCGCATTATTCTTTGTTGTCCATCGCAGTATAAGCCAATCGTATTATCATTTTTTTTATATAATAATCCTTTCAACATTAGCTTAGGTCAAATGATCATACTTCAGAATTGCTGTACACTACTTTGTCCGATGCACTAAAAATTTACACTAAAAATACACAGTCACGATACGAAAGTGAACGGTACACCTCTTATGGAATATTTGAACGAATTATACGACCGGCCGAAGGCAAGCGAAGCCACTGTACGGAATACAAAGGCACTTGGACCCTCGTCTTATGCCACTTGTGGCAAATTCGCTGAGCAAACACCGCGAGGGGACTGACGTTATTTGCTGATTGCACTAACACGCATCACCCGTGAGGGATTTTAATTTAAATGGCGCCAAAAAGCACTCTGCCTATGCAACAAGTTGACCAACCTTCGTCAGTAAGGTCGAGAGGATACTCATGATGATGCACCTTACTAAGCAACTAGGCTGCACGTAGACTACTGCGAGTTTTATTTTTATATTTCGTTCATAAACTTGACATGCGCAATGTACATTTACATATGCGTAGCAACTGCGGAAACCGATGGGAACAAGGTTGAAGGCGGTCCCCAGCTCGACCGGCACACATTTAATTTTAATCCTAGAGATAAACATGCCACTAATAACTCAATTAAGTGGGATCACAGCCCGCGGCGAGAGATATGGGATTTGAGGAAGCAAAAAAGCTCCTGACAGAGGGGTCCGTGCCGTTCGCTCGCGAGGGGAGCACTAATATAGGTTTCAGTTATGCCGCTGCGAGCCGCTGACTATTTGCAACGCCCGGGACGATCGCAACCCAATGTTACAACGTATTGAGCGTTTGGTAAATATTCGACCTACAGGTCGTGTTGTTCATCGGATAAAATAATGGATGCACTCAATAATTTCATTTAATTAAACTTTGTTTATTTGGCGACGAAAAGTTTGAAAACGTCTAATATACGACTCATGGCCGTTCATTTAATTTACAAGTGGTCTCATCAAAACTTCTGTTTACTAATTTAATTTCAGTTGAGTGGTAATTGAAGTTTTAGAGTTCGGGCCATAAAACAATTTAAGGGCTCTTTTTACGGATGCTCATTTGAATAAAGTAAGTAAGTAGTATTACCACATATTAAATAAAATAAAATCGATGCACCGTACACAGAAGTACAAGGAGAGCATGACGTGGGAACAGCTCACCTGCGGCGCCTCCTCGCGATATCCTTCACTAATTACAATCGTTATCTGCATCAGATAATGCCCCCACAAAAACACCGACCTTTCCTTTTCGTTTTATATTTACATAATAATGTGTGGGGCATAACGACCGCCGGCAAGGCGGTATTATTATAAGGACTCCGATATCTCAAAGTTTTTATGTTCGCCAACTACAACGTTCGCGATGTATCACTACACATGTTTAAGAAAATATCATTTTGATATTAATACCGCGCTATTTGTATCGTTAAGCATGGTATATAAGGGATAAAAATAGATCGAAATTATTTCAAAGAAACTACGAACAATAATAGGTAATGCAAGTCCTGAACCAAACAATAAAAATAGCGAGATATCTCTCGTCAGGAAATCTCTCCAAAAATTCTAACCCTAACCAGTGAACATTCTAACGGAATTTAGATTTGACGAGAATTTCACAATGCATTTTAATTGTTGGGGGATGCAATGTGACGTCACCCCATTCATTACATTAATAATCCTAGCGTAAAGCACGCATTCTAACGTAGAGCGACCCTTCACATAGAATTTTTTTTATATCCGGAGGGGTGGCGTAAACTACCTACGAAATGTGTATATAAGCCCCTAGTTATATCAAAAATATGTTTAGAACATAGACGGAAATGGAGACTCTTTTAAATGTTATTAGGCTTTGTTCTTTTTTATCCCAATTTACGTACGGTTTTTTGTTACAATAATACAATGAGACATTGCATACCGAAAATATTTTCAAATTCTAATTCATTCACAATACGTAAGACACTAATTAATTATTGTGGACTATTTATTATTTGTATAACATAACATTTGACATATTTTACCTATAACTATAAAATAAAATTATAACAAGCGATTTAAATAATTTACTCAACATCACACCAAATTATGTAATAAGTAAAAAGTATTAATTTTACCTATATACTAAATTTGTTAAAATATCTTAAATCAATGGTTTAAATTAGGTTATGTCTATGGATACCAGGGCCACTCCATGCATGGTTTAATCTTTGGATACATTTTTTTCTTTAATTCTGAGGGTCGGATAACATTGACTAGCGTGCTTCGTCAAGTTCGTAATTTATAGAGAACTTTCAAGTTTTATAGGATTTCCGAGTGCATACTATGAAATTTTGTTGTTTATACTATGCAGCATACAACGAATCAATAAAATCGGTTAAATTTCGCCATATGTCATATGTAAAGTTTTTACTTAACTACATATATAAAATATATTATAAAATATTTTTCATAGATTCGCATATACGGAACATACTAGAAGCAAGACGATAACATATCCATTAATAAGAAATATAAAATATTTAATTTACAATAGCGCCATCTAACTACCAAGCGTCGAATTACTACGATTGAAGTCCGCTAAATAAAAAAACTTTTTACCAAATGGGACAAAGTGACCAAAAAGAAAAATGTTAAATACAGATTACACATATTATATTTTAACGATATTAATTTGCAATCCGTTGATTTCTGATACAATTAATATGTAATGTCCATGTTGCAAAATATTTTTGCCCGGTACTAAAACTGCTCGACTCTGATTGGCTGGCGAGAATGGCGGGGCGCATGCGCGCTCTACGTTCGTTCGGTCGAAGCCGAATACTGGCGCGTTTGTTCCGAGATACTAGGGCCGCAGCGCTCTGTAGGAGTTCCCAACACGTTTAACGACTGATCACGAAACATAGACTTTAAACATATTATTCGAGAGGTTGAATTTCCTTCGCGACAAAATTTCTTTTACGCTAGGCCAAGTCGGCGCATTGCAAGGTGAGTTTTGACTACAACGTAAAGAGGACTTTATGAGTAGTAACAGAAATCCTTTTTTCCGAACATATCCTTGCGATCGTCATTAAATAGTTTCCCAAATTTGACACGGGCGCTAGAGAAGCCATTGGAATCTTTTGGGCTGCGGATTGACACAATATAACGGATGAGGTTATCATCGGAATTTGGCTCAAACTTCATTACATTTGATATTTTTCTTTTTGCTTCTGAAAATTAATGTGAACAATAAATAACGATTTAACAACATTGCATATTATAAATATTTTTTTTTATTTTCAACATTTAACTAACTTTTGAAATAATTTGTCCTTGTTGATCATGTTACTTCTTTCTATTTACAAAGTTTAAGCTATCACATTTAATCACTGTGACTATTGAAAAAATACCATGCAGTTCTATTAACATTGAAGTGTCAAACGGATACAATAATTACTGGAAGTTGTACATAATAGGTTGTCAAATATGACAGAAGAGAAAAGGACAAAATAAAAAATCATAATTTAAAATATATGCTTGCTTTAAGTTGGGTATGTCTAACACAGTGAAATAATGTCTTTTTTTCACAAGTGTAGAATATAGACGAGGGCGTTGCCTACATTAATCAGTAGGCAACATTATTGTAACGATGCGAATACGCCCACTTAACTGCTACTCGCTTCGGTGTAACAGGTTTACTTAGAAATTGCTTCCACACGCACCGTAAGGCGACACGACATTCGCTATTACTTGATTATTTAAAAAAGCGGTCTGATTAAACGGCTATAACTTCCAACCTCCAAAAACATACCTAATATTCAACTCTGTCATACAATTTTATAATAAGTATGAGAAAAATGAGACAAACTATTGGTTTGGCTGGTTATTGGTTTTCGCCATTGAATAAAACACGGCGAAGAAAAAATGTAAGAGTCAAAGGTCATTTACAAACCACGTCCACAAGTTTAGCGTAAAAGCGGCCACGTAAAAATATCTAAGAAAATAAATCGTTCAAACCGTCCAATGTCAGCAAATATTGTAAAGATAGTGCGCACCCCCAATAAAGTTGGTCCAATTTCATAATAAGCAAATAAGAAAGCCGAACATTAAATGCAATATCGTTATCAGACAATCTTGGGTTAATAACGGCACACCTAAAACGCGCATAAAAAAAACGGCACTACAATGACAAGGTTACCCCTCGCGCAAGACTTCAATGCCCGAAACTTGTTTACTGTCAGAGATTCAATGTGATCTCAAGAAGGGCATCGTTCAAAAAGAAGCATCGGATTTCTCACTGCGGCCCTCGGTTCAGAACATAAGCCGGCGTAAGGGGAGCCTCGGTAATAATAAGGGACGAAAGCATGCGTGAAAAGGAGCCAAAAACCCTTGCGATAATTTTCGAACAGCTGCTGCCGGTGTCACAATGCTCGGATTAATGCACAGAATCTAAATTAAAATGCCATGCAGAGCATATTTTTATCAACAGAACTGCCATTCAGGATTGTTTAGATTCGGCGATTGCAAGCGGTGCAAACGTTCGTTTGTTGCGCAACGAACGGTTTACAATAAAGCACACAAAATATATTAGGCTGATATGTGATCTCGTGCGTTTCGCAAGCGCCCGAATACATTGCGACGTTCGCTTTCGTGAAGGAGACAAAGCTCACCTTTCTAATTCTCTTCTTCATGATACGCTCGGCGGCGTACACGCTGTCGCCGAGCTCCATCTTATGCATCCCCAGTTTGGTGGGTGGGTGAATGCTCAACGATATTGTTCAAATCCAGTAAGTAAACACTGCAATCCAAATAGTGTGATCCGATCACTGCATCCAATTTGTAGCGCACCGCAATCCGACACACATTCTCTATCACAAAACACCGCTCGGAACCACCGTCACTGTTCAAAGTTGCCGCGCGAACGTATGTTCTTTACGCGCAGCGGCAACACGTCTACACTCTCCGATGTCACAGCCGAACTGAAGCAGGGGGAGGAAGCCTCCGCCCCGCTCGTCCCGCAACGCTCACTTCGTCGTCCCCCGACAGAGTGCGCTAGCTGTTTAAAAACAACCGCTCGATATCTGTAAACAATTTTCATTATTCTTTTTCATGTATTCAAATGGCGTGTTTCAACTGTAAAGTGCTTCTGACATAATAATTGTGATACGAATTATTTCATAAGTTTTATAATTAGAACAATTAATATCGGTGGTTAACAATCTTAAATACAAACAGAATAACCATATATACAAAAAACAACTGATTATACGTGTTTTTATAATGTGATGAGCAACCGCTAATTAATAACCACCCATAAAAATAGTAGTAATTAGCCGCAAGACAAGCGCCTTCGTCATTGAACTTCGTATCGGCATGTTAGGTATATTGCGTCGGTTCCACGATAAATGCGTCTCGCTCGAGTCGGCGGGCGATTCCCCACGATGCGGCGCGGCGTTGTGGAGGCCCGCTTGCCGCGAGGGCGCCGTTGCCGCTTTGCGCCAGCTGCGAGAGAAAGACCGAGCGCCTACCCTATTATTTACGCGCGACGTTGCCGCACCGAGCAGCCTACGTTGATTACGAGGACACCGCTTTTACGTTCGATTATCCGGCACAGAAATGTGCGTCTAAATCGCTATATTTAAAACTTTCTTCAAGTTTAATCATACTTTGTTATAATATCTAGTATTATCTCACTTTCCGGCGAGTTATATTACGAAAGATCAAAAATAAATACCTGTACCCGTCAGCCGAGCCGCAGAAATCCGTAAACGAGCACAAAATCCACTACCACCGATGCGAGTGAGCCGGGAGCCGAACGGAAACCGGTTTTTCGGATCCTCACAGCGTCCGGCGCTAAATGCGTCTAGCCAACAGAGCGCGCGCGAAGTAACTAAGGCATTTTCGGTCGTATCGAATCGGTTCGGCATTCGTAAAAGGTCGGCGCTTCGGTGTGCGCGGGGAGCGCGGTGAGCGAGGCGACCGCTTCAACGGCGCAGTGGATTGGGTGCAAAACGCGGGCGGCGGGCGACGCGCGCCCTCAGCCAATGGCGGCGTGGCGGCGGGCGCCCCGCCCGCGGCGTAGCGTCTGCTTTCATCTGCCCTCTCGCTCTGGCGATCGCCGCGTTCGATCACAGCATTGTTTTTTGCCGAGTGCGAGCCGCGCATATAGAAAAATAAACGGACATTTTGGATTACGCGCGACGCGTAGGGCCCCCGGATCCGGGCGCGGCGCGCGTTTATTTATTCTGGCGGTGTTGTAGGGAGAGATATGGCGCGATAAATAGACGCAGCTTGCGTTACGACACGTCCTGATAGATGGACCGTGTTTTTTTGCTTTCTACGCGTTATTTTCTGTTGCCTTAACCGTAAGATGTTTTAGATGTAATGCATTATTGTTATTAAACCAACGAAAAATTCGGCATAATACAATTTTATAGTAAATACTAATTTGAAAGAAGTATTAGCGAGAAGTAGTCTCACGATGTACCTTTATTCGTAATGAAACATTCGTAACAAAAGTAAGTTATTGACGTCATTGTCAACAAACGTACTCGTATGTCGTAAAACGGGATAGCGTAAATCAAATTATTACGCGGTACTCATGGAATCCGTGTCCATACAATGCGTTCTCCCACCCAAAAATATCATTCGACTTTAATATTTCTATATCAGATGACAAGCTTTGTTGGATGCTTTCCTCTACATTCGTTCTAGATTGCTTCTGTGTATATCATCAATACAGCTTTCGTGCTATTCGTATTTCGACGGACCTGCGGTTAAGTGATATACCAAACTCACACGTAAAAAAGAAACACGGCAAAGACTGAACGCGAATAACAACATTATTAAACATTTTAGGGATATTTAAAAAGTAAGGCGATTTTATTATTAGTAGACTGACAAAATGAGTTTGAATTTTTCCGTTTTGGATAAAATTCACTAGCTATCCAGGACAAATTGAATGCCGTTGTTTATGTTCCGAGAAAACAGGCAGTTGACGTCAACCTTGCGGCCCCTCTTTACCTTTATAATATATTATTTTACCAAGTCCGACACTAGTTTTAATGTTTAGGAGGTAAACTAGTCAACGGCTTGCTTGAATAAAGAAGAAGTTACAGATGTCGCACGCAGTGCCTACCTACTCACCAAGGCTGCGTCACAATCGCGTGAATAATATCGAAATAAGAACGGGATACAAATGGAAGTATATAATTTTTATGTAAAAACTTCCTAAGAACTGTTCGCCTGGAGCGGTGCGCCATCGGGAAGCTTCCAGATTTCAATCAAACCTCGGAAACGTAAGCATTATTACGAAGCGAGAACTACGGAGCGTGGTATTATTGCGCCGCACTCGAAGAGGTAGGCACGGTTTGTGAATTCTTCCTGGTGAATCCAGGAATAATCGTACAGTCCGGTAATTTTCGTCTTCCTCACTGCAGACATTTTTTTAATGAGAGAATTGGTTCACCAGATGTTTAGTGAATATCGCCATAGGCACGACACCCGTGGAGTGGTCCTCCAGACGAAGTTGAAAATCACGAGTACCTGTAGTTTTTTACCCCGGCCGCCTTTGAGGCCGCACTTTTAAAAGGGCCAAACGACACCAGACATAATAGCTCTATATATATAACACCAATAATTAAATATATCATGGCAGTTTTTCAATCGAAAGCTTTGCCCTTAACTTTGAGGCGTTGGCTCTCAGCCCGTATGTAGTCTACGTCGCAGAACTAGTGAGGTAGCCAGAGCCCAGAGCCCACGAGCGGATACGCACGTTGAGTAGGGCCGCGCATGTGCTCATGCGTGCGTTTCCTTGAACTGGAGATATGAAAACGACTTAAAACGCGGGTGAAGATACGTTGTGTATGTGTGTCGGTTTCCCCGTGTTAGGAGGCGAGGTAAGCCCTGTAGTCTCGGGCTCGTCGAATAGAGCTAAGTCTACGTCGTAGAAGTATCCCCTGCCTGTCGTAAAAGGCGACTAAAAGGGGACACGGATTGCCAGCAGCACGAAGTGGTCTCGTGCTGCTGGAAGACGGCGAGGGAATCGGGGAAGGGTTACCCTTCTCCGAGGCATGCTCACGCGCAGTACTGAGGGATACCAGTGCGTTCCGTAGGAGATCCCGGAGTCCCTCCAAAGGTACAGAAGGTGGCCTCCGAGGGGGTTTTAGTGGGTACGAACCCCAAATAACCCTGTCATATCATGACAGGGTATCTTTTGAAGATTCCCCCCTCCCTCCCCCCCCGATACAAAAAAAAAAGAGGCAAGGTAAAACTAATTGGTTATGTCTATGGGTGTTAGCTCTTGTGGGTACGGTGTAACTAACAGGACCACCCGTTTGGTCTTTTGTGCTGCTGTCTCCTTCCTCGGTCGCGTCGATGAGGACGTTACGCGGGCGAAGTTTGTGAACGGTTGCGTCCGTTTCGGGTTGGTGATTCCGGACCGTCCTTAAAGGCCGGCTATGCAATTGTGACCCGTGGAATTGTGGCTCGTTTGCCTCCTTTTTCCATAAAAATTGTAATGGTTTTCGGCACTTTCGATGGGCCGTCTTAATAGCTCTCTCAAGCATTTGCATAGCGTCGGGAGGCTGCAATCGCTATGCAGTCTCCCGGTGCTATGCGATGTTGTTTCTCTATCAGTTCTAGCGATGGTATAGTGACCATTTTAAGCCAGAGCGCTTGGATATTTTGTTCTTAATAATCACTACAAACACGGTAAGAGCGGGCACTAGTACTAAACCGTATTAGTGGGCACGACTATATTAAGTCTTGTGATAATATCTTGTACCTACTTACGCTATTAGTACATTATTACATATTAGGTACTAAATGAAACTGTATTTACTGATTTATAGCATTTATTTTTAATTTTATTTTTCGTCGTTTCTGCGTACAGTCTGTTCCGTGACCATGAACGCTGGAAAGGAATCGAAAAGTCGGGAATTCAAATTAAAAATCACTACATTGTATAAAACAAAGTCTTCCCGCTGTCTGTCTGTCCCTATGTATGATTAGATCTTTAAAACTACACAACGGATCTTGATGCGGTTTTTTTACTGATTCAAGAGTGATTCAAGAGTAAGGTTTATATGTATAATACATTGCACCCGTGAGAAGCCGGGGCGGATCGCTAGTTAATGAATAAATCCATATAGCTTAATTTATATAGTAAATATAGCTTCATTTATAATTCTTGTCCTTAAAATAGATCCTTGAATCTTTTGCTCTTTTTACGAGATCTGCTTAATGCTCCAGTAATTTATCTAACAAAGATAAAATAAAAAGTTTAATTCTACTCTGATCGATTCACGAAGAGGTGTTCTTATTAGACTAGAATGAAATATACGGGATTTTTAGCGTTTTATCCCAAGTTGCGAGCTGAATGAGAACTTACATTGGACACCGCCGCGCTGAATTCATTTTTGTAAAAAATGTGAAAAGATATAGTGTTTCAAGGTGGTATAAAAATTTAAGCGGCAATGTTCTGTGGGGGAGATCTATGTTCAGCCGAGAAGTACAAAAGGCTAAAATGATGATAATGATGATGAATACTTTCACCTTCATAGAGAGCATAAGTGTTATAAATAATAGTATGTATTAATATGGATTAATATGGATTAATATATGGATTAATAATACAATTTTGTTCCTAGAATTTCTAGGAACAAAATTGTATCATTCATCCATGCTTTTACTAATTTTAGGCAGGTATTTGAGGCTTATGTCGTCTATGTTTGGACTTTAATTAGGCGCTGACCGTAAAGAGTTAGGACATTCATTTCGAAAGCTTAAAGAAAAATTATTTGGTCAAAGTTAATACAATGAAGTTTTTGGGCTAATCATCGGACGCAGAACAACGGAGTCATTTCAAATTACTTCTTATGGGCTTAGTTAAGTATACTGTGACATGTTATCTGTGTGTCGCTCAAAAAATCCATATTCTTTGTGGCTTTAGTGAAACGATAGAAAAGGCTAACTTTAAACTTACTAAAACAGGCCGTAGAATTGTGCTGTGAATCCGGAGCATCGTAACTGCCGCTAGTTAAAAAACTGTTTGATCTCGGCGGATTTACGAACGGTCATAAAATGGCGGCAAACACGGCCGCCCCACGCGTGGGGGCCGTCTGCCGGAACGCCGCGATACCGACACCGTTATCAGAAGGGAATGAATGCATCGTCGCATTGAACTACGAAACGGACCTTCGTTTCTCGACAGCGCATTGATGTTACCTTAATACCTTTTCAGAAAAAATGGTGGGAAATGAGCATTCAAAATGGTAAACTAGACTAAAAACGCAATGACGTCCCGGCTATCTAATAAGTAATTAATTAAGTAATTTACATCGGTCTTTTGTTCCGCCATGATGGACATTTACGTTCTGGGACCACGTCAGAAGCAAATGCAAGGTTGTTCAGCAGTAGGCAACCTTTGATATCCCTCATATGACGCTAATTATGTGTAACCCGTTGGTTAACTCAGCTGTACCGCTGTACAGCCGTACAATCCGCCGTTAATTCCTCCTCTACGTTATCGCTTCATGCACTTAAATGACGTCCAAGTTCACTGCTCCGTATGGGGTATGCCAAAACCTCCAGTGAATGGAGTAACTGCAGTAAAATACTCTGACAATCGAGATTGTTGCACAATGTTGTTCAAATACTTATAGGAACATATCTAGTCGGGTCATAAGTTCTGTCACGTATTAAAAACTATTGAATTTTAAATGCTCGCCACAAAATAATTATTAAATTAGAATTTCAATGTCTTAAGAAACGTGCACTATTTCGATCGTATTTTATTCATATCACTACATTGTATAAAACAAAGTCGTCTCGCTGTCTGTCTGTCCCTATGTATGCTTAGATCTTAAAAACTACGCAACGGATCTTGATGCGGTTATTTTATAGGTAGAGTGATTCAAGAGGAAGGTTTATTAATACATTGCACCCGCGCGAGGCCGGGGCAGGTCGCTAGTTTTTAAATATGGTGTTGGCGCTTAGAGAAGACGGAGGTGCGGTTATCGCGTTGCATCGGTGCAGTTTCTATATAATATAAATTCAAATGTAGAAGACGGAAAAGGAGTGGTCGCTCGCCCTCGTGCTGTTAGGACACCGGCAGTGATAAAAGCTGTGAAGGCGCAAATTCAAAGAAATCCCATGTGTAAGCG